CCTCCTAAAGCTAAAGTTCATTGTGTGAGAATCTGATAGCTGCTTCCTTTACGCTTCTTTTTGGAGAAGAACCTGTTACTTAAAAAAAAAAATCATGGCCAATGCTTGCACGTTTGGCTTGCTGCTGACTATGACGGCCCTAAGAGAAAGGTTGTCTGCCTTAATTCTATCTCATCTTTACATCTTAGGAATGACTTCCCATGCTCCCAAAGGCAGGGGCTGGTCTCTTCATAGGGTGCAGAGGTAGCTTTTGTAAAACATGCAGGTCCTAGCTGGAAAATATGAGCCACAAATAAAGCTAGGCTATAACTTTACATTTTCTGATACACACATTAGTACAGTCAAAAGAAAAAGATTAATCTCATTTTATTAACATAGTTTATTAATTCTGCAACATCAACTATTAAGATGCTAAGGCACATCACAGTTTGGAATAACAGCATTTAAACCCGTAATTGGTGGCATGACGCTATTGTCTACTACACTGGATACAGCCCCGAGAGGAGAGCGACGATTTTCTGTTAGCAGTAGGCCTCCACTGGAGAACTTCTGACACATTAACCAAACATCCCCATGGTTCCTGGTTATTCACCTTGGGAGTGTCCTCATTTCTCTGTGTGTTTCAGGTAGTGTAATGGGGAACTGGAAATGTCAGTTTCTTCCATATTCTGTCTTCACCAATCACACGCCGTCTCTGTGATCTCTAACGTCTAAGGAGAACTGGCTCACTGCTTTGCTAAAAACCTGCTTTATCTCCCCTTAAGTCACCTGTACCTTGAAGCACTTCATCATTGCGTTTGGTGAGGTGTCACACTCACGCCCCGTACAACCTCCTGCTCTCCAGCTAACTTCCTCTTGGTTTTAAGTTGCTGCTTCATTTGAAGTGAGATCTCCTCCTTTACTCTTCCCTCGTATTTCATTCACTGGTTTCTTGCTCCACTATCCCGGCTCTGTATATGCACACACAATGGGCAAAGTCTTGCCCCAGCCCTGAATGAGGGCAGAGACCACCCCAGCCTTGGAGTAATCAGAAAACCACCGGGATAAAGAACCAGCAACACAGCAAGGCCGACTGCAGTAAGCGGATAGGGATGCATGCTGATTGACAGATGAGGCCATCCAATGAGGATGAAGTGAGGGAGGACCTTTAAAGGGTGAGCCGGACTCACACCCCTGGCTTCTCTTGGACCAGGAGCTTTGCTACCAGCCAAGCCCCCCTCCCGAAACTGAGTAAAATGGCAATCAGACACTGCACAGAAACAGAGATGATATTTATAAGTAGGGTCGATGCAGACTTTCCTAGCTTCTGATTGCTGTCTGGCCCAGATTCTATCCTTACAAAACTTCTGTCCTTTTAACGCCAAATTCAGGATTTGAATTTGGCCAAGTCCTTACCATCATATTTTCCAAAATCTCTTAAAATAGAATTGAATCATAATTTCAAAAAAGGGCCCACCATGCAAAAATGGATGGGCTCACAGGAGGATGCCAGGTTTGCAGGATACGTTTGGTCCATGAATAGTAAAATCGCTTTTGATTTACCAAATGTGACTGCAGTCTCTGACATTGCACTAAGAGCCCGCGCTGGGGAAGTGGGGATTCTGAGTGCTTGTTAAAATCTCCAGGCTGTTCCTCTCAAAGTAGATCCTGTCCTTCCTCTTGCCCTTCTTCTCCTCTCTCCTCTCCTCTCCTCTCCTCCTTCCCTTCCCCTTCTCTATCCTCTCCCCTTAATCATCTCTCTCTCTCTCCTCTCTCTCTCTCTCTCTCTCTCTCTCTCCCTCTCCTCTCTCTCTCTCTCTCTGTCTCTCTCTCTCTCCCTCTCTCTCTCTCTCTCTCTCTCTCTCTCTCTCTCTCTCTCTCTCTCTCTCTCTCTCTCTCTCTCTCTCTCTCTCTCTCTCTCTCTCTCTCTCTCTCTGCCTTTCTGTGTCTTTCTGGCCTTTCCCTGTCTGTCTAGCACCCTTGAGTCAACAGGGTCACACTTAGAGTTTGCTCGGAAAGCTTTATTGTGCAGGGTTTGTCTGCGCCCTATGGCAAAGGCCTAAAAGGGATCAGACCGTTTTCCAGGCGTGCGACAAACACAAGACTTTAGGCAAAAGCTTTCCTGCAAATCCTGAACTGTGGGAGAGCGCGAGGGCCACACCTCCACCTGCACACACAGCCTGATACTCCCTGGAGCTTAGCCAGCCTTGCAGGATGAGATGACCTCCCCAGAAGCAGCGCCACTCTCCTGCCTTGAGTGGGGCCCGTGACCTTATCCGTGCATCTTTCATCTGTAGTGGACACTTGTATGAGAAAAACTGAATACAGGGACCTGTCTTCTCGTTCAAATCACATCAGTGTCCCTCTTCACAAGGGGTTCTGGGGAGCCCCCCAGCCTCCAGCTCCTTCACCGTCCCTCCGGCGCCCCAAAGAACCGGACGGCCAGTGTTACCCTCCCTCCACAGATGAGTGAGGCGGGGCTCAGAGAGGAGCAGGGTGTGGCCAGGGATTTGAACTTGGGACTCTGGGCTCTATCTTTAGCCTCTTCCACTGGAGCACCGCTGGAGCGGAGCCCGGCTAGGAGGAGGACAGATGTGGGGACGCAGGGCCAGGCGCGTGGGGCAGCCCTCCCCAACTTACAGCAAGCTGTGCCACCTGCTTGCTGCTTTTGACTCGTGTTTGCCCGGTGTCCCCATCTTTCCTGCAGTCTGTGCTCCCCGCAGAGCTTGGGCATTAGGGTTTCTCCGGCTGCCCGCTGCTGAGTCAGCAGCCAGTGATGAACTGGTGGTGTAGACGGGACATAATACCCCAAGCCAAAACGTAAGGCAGGGGTGGGGAACGTGGGGGGTGGGGGTGGGGTCTGTGCGTTTTCTCTGAGGTTAAGGAGAGGACCTGGCAGGTGACAAAGCTCATCTCCACGTTTCCACACCCATCGCCCCATCTGCTAAATTCCCACTGAGAAATTCAGGAAAAAAACAAAACAAAACGGGTGGATCAAATCGAATAAAACCCTCATGGTAAGCTCACCGGCACCTGCCTGTGTGAGGGAAAGATACGGACTTTTAGTCTCGGCCCAACTAGACTGAGGGGCTGTGTGGCAGGCCCGGTTTCTTCCGATTCAAGCAGCCGAGACCCACACCCTACTTCTCTGCCAGTGTTCGTTCTGTTCTTGTGCGAGGAAGAGTGCTGTTTCCATGGCAATGGCCATCAGAGATTTCTTTCTTTCTTTCTTTTTTTTTTTTTTTTTTGCCTCTGAGCACTCGACCATCCAATCCACTCCTGTTTCCAGGCAGAGCCCACGGCGCTTGTGGGGACTGTGAAGGGCCACTTTGCAATTTCCCCTAAGTTACCATCACCTCTGGCCCAATGGAAGTGACACCTCTGTCCCCCGTCTCCGTGAGTCCAGTCACAACCCGGAAGAGAGTGTTAGGTGCCTCTAAAAGCTATCCTCACGGAAAAGGCTAGCCCCGTAGTCATGGCAGCATTGGGTGACCGCACCCAAGACAGCAATCCAGGTAAAGGAGAGAGTATGTACAGGGATGGGAAGGCAGGCTCTCTCGTTAGCTGAGCATCTGCGAACATCACCTATGGTGGAATTGGAAAGGTGTGGCCTCAGGAGGGGCAACGCCAAGGGACGGGCCAAGCAGAGACGCAGGGCAGCTGGTTCACTCAGTCAGGGTGCTAGGTTCATAGCTGATTGTACAAATGTCTTTTCTCCTTATTTGTTCGTAACCGCCTGGGTCAGGATTAGGGTCAACGTCTATTTCTTTCCCTTGTGATTTATGAGAATTAAAACCTAGGGCTTCATATGTGCTAGGCGCCCTAACCTCGAACTCGCAATCCTCCATACTTGTTTTCTCCAGCGCTTGCCTAAATGTGTGCACCACCGGGGCCGGCTCAGTGTCTCTTTGGTTCTGCTGCAGTTCCGGCTGAGTAACAGTATGTGCGTACGCAGAGTGTGCTGACCAAAAGCAGCATGGGTGGGACACCACAGAGCACACAGGCTTCCTGCTTCTCCCCCCACGTCCGCACCCCACCCCATGAATGTCGGGGTTCTGTCACCTCGCCATGCCGCGTCGAGCTTCCTGTGGGGCCTTTGGGCCTCTCACCCTACTCACGTGAGCCCTGTTGGTGTGCTTTGGATCACCTGAATCTCGGCCGTACGATGGTGGATCATCTTGCAGCCGAAGGGACAGGACATTTCTCAGTGTGCGGGGATCAGGCTGGAGAAAGGTTTAGGGAATCAATAAAAACTGAGCACGACCCTGGTTGCAGCTGGAGGCTGGGTCCCCCCAAGCCTCACTGTAGTCTTCTTCCTGAAGAAGAATTTAGTCTTTAAAGGGTCATGTAATCAAGGGCTGGAGGGAGCTGGAGGGATGGCTCAGTGGTTAAGACAGGAAAACGCCTTTGCAGAGGACACACATGCCCAAGGACTCTCTGCAGCTCCAGCTTCAAGGGATCCAGCACCTCTGGTATCTGTGCTCTCTCTGTCTCTCTGTCTCTGTCTCTGTCTCTGTCTCTGTCTCTGTCTCTCTCTCTCTCTCTCTCTGTCTCACGCACATGTGTGCGTGCAGGTGCACACAAACACACACACACACACACTTATCAACCCATGCACATACATCTAAAGACAAACTTTTCAAGGGTTACAGGAGTAGAGTTGAGGTATGCACAGCACCCTAGAAATCTTCATAGGCACCGTGAGGCTACGGGAAAACAAACCCTCGTACTCATTGGTCCAGACCAAAGGTAAGAAGTGTGAAGCCCGTGAGGCAAGCTCCCTCCCGGGGACTCAGTGAGAATGCACCTAGGAGGCTGCTCCACACACTGCCAACCTCTGTGCACCCATGAGGACGAGGCCTCACAGTGGCACGCATCCCTTCCTCGGGAATCAGGCTGCTTCCTGACACTTCGTGTAATTACCGAGATACACGGCCGCCGTCCCTTATAAAAGAAAAAATCCTCGGGGCTCGGGATTCCCTATTGAAGCGACCTTCCCTTTGATGTCCCCTGTCTAACAGACGCTGAAGGACGCCAGCGACAACGCCCGCAAGGACTTCCACCGCGAAGCTGAGCTGCTGACCAACCTCCAGCACGAGCACATTGTCAAGTTCTACGGAGTCTGTGTGGAGGGCGACCCGCTCATCATGGTCTTCGAGTACATGAAGCACGGAGACCTCAACAAGTTTCTTAGGTACGGGGGGGGCTTGAGAAGAGAGCAGAATAAGCGGTGGCGAGGGTGGGAAGCTCCCCGGGAAGGGTGAAGGGAAGCCCAGGCCCTTCATTGAAGTCATCTCCGGTGATGGCTACGCCCACACACAGCAGAGAAAGGAACGGAGGGAAAGGTAGGACGCATCTCTCTTTTTCCTTGCCTGGTCACCCCACCTAAGGTGTAACTAATTAGTCAGTCCGCATTTCTGTGGAGCATTTGTTACATTTAACATTGTATTTGTTACATTTAACGCTGTGTGTCTGAAAGAGCGCCGCCAAGTGGGCAGAAGGTAAGCATTAACTAAGGCTACGGAAACAGAAAAGAGCTAAGGTACGGGCGGCAGCACCATAGATGGTCTAGGGGGGTTTGAGTGAAGCGTCTGGGATGCCAGCTGTGACAGGAAGCAGGGAGGCAAGGAGGCTAGGAAGCTATCGCACGGAGCTGATCTGACTTCAGGAGCTCCCGGATCTAGAATGAAGCGGACAGAGCCCAAAGACCAAAGGTTTCCAAGGAAAAGGATGGAGCAACATCTGATGGAGCCACTGGAGTCTCGTAAACGTGGCTGTGGCTAACGAGGTCCCCTGGAGCGGTGTGGGCACAAGCAGGGTCCCTAGGAGAGAAACAGGGTGCCAGAGCCGCTTCGATTTCCAGCATCGACCTCATTGGGTCTTCGTTCGGCAATGGCTTATCAAGAGGTCCCTTCCCTCAGACAGCGGGAGAAGGAGACACAAGATAGAGTGAGAGGAACCTTCGAATGAGCATGAGCCATGGGGAAAGTCGTTTGTTCTGTAACGTGAGACTAAGTCAAAGAACACCACGGGTTGAAAGGGTGGCATTTGAGGAGATGCCGGGGTACGGTAGCAAGGTTGCCACCCCCCAACAGACATGAAGCTGGTACTCAGCTCCAGCATGTATGAGCTGGGTGGTGGTGTGTACTGAGCTCCAGCATGTGGCTCCTGAGTGGGTCATCAGTCCCCCTGGCCCAGGCTCTTCTGCACCGAGTCCCTGGCCGTCCTTTCTGTGTCTTCTTTTCCTTGAGTGCCAGCTGTCATCTTTGAAATATTAGCCTGCGCATCTCGTGTAGTTTGGTGAAGAATTGCAACTTGGGAGAAACAAAAGCCATGAGGAGTGTCCGGGTTCCCTTCTCCTCCTGGCCTCATTTTCCCATCTGACAAGGCGACGTAGCATGCAACAAGTTTAGATGGGAGTTACCAGTAACGTCCGATCCCATGACCCACAGTTTCTGCCTCGTTTGCCTCTTTCCTTCGGCTCAGGGATTCAAAAACCCCCAGTGAGCAGCACCTTCTGTGTAATGGTCACACACAGGGTCCTTCCGTCTTCCTCTCATGTCCCAGGCTTCTGCCCAAACCCTCACACAGAAGGAAGCTCCAGACAGCTTCACATTTCACTGGGAGAGTCACACTGCAGTCTTAGTAACCAGTCAGTCACAGCAGGGATGGCTAAAGGGGACAGGGCTCTGCTGCTTTTTAGAACTGGCTCTGCAGGTCACTGCAGTGCTCTGTCCCCTTTAGCCATTTTCACGGACTGGGTCTTTGTTTACACATACTGCTTCAGACCTTGCCTGGGCTGGACCTCTGCTTCCCCTGCAACCCTGTTGTGGGTGAGGCGAAATCAGGAGTGCATGACATCAAGGCATCCAGCAACAATCCTAACCCACTTTCCTGTGTTGACAAAGTTGTAGGTGAAAGACAGGGGCAATGGCAGGATTCTGCTCTTTGTATTGTCAGAGCTAAAGTGGAGAGAAGAGGATACACTAACTTTGGTTGAGGGCTAGTTCTTCCTATGAGAAACACTTTCATCATTCCTCAGGCTTTCTCCCTAATCCAAAAATGGTTTTTCTTTAAACACTGTGACAAAATAAACCCACATGCAATTATCTGGATACAGTTTCATGCGTCCGCATGTTCAGACTGGTGTGTGTGTGTGTGGGTGTGGGTGTGTGTGAATGGGTGTGACTATGGGTGTGTGTCTGCGAGTATGCGCTGTGAATGAGTGTATGTGTGTGTGTTTATTATGGTTGTGAGCAGGTGTGTGTATGATTATGTGAGTTTAAGTACATATGTGTGAGTTTGTATTAGTGAACATGTGCTCTGTGTGTAAATGTGAGGGTGTGTCTGTGTGTATGTATGAGAATGTGTATATGTACGTGAATGGGTGTGTGTATGTAGGTGTGAATATGTGTGGGTTGGCTGTGTGGCTATGAGTGCATGTTGTATATGTACATGTGTATATGAGTATGAATGTGTATTGCATAAGTGTGTGTATTCAAGTGTATGTGGGTGTGGATGTGGATGTGCATGTGAGTGTGTGCATGTGAGTGTGCACGTGTGTGCCTGTGAGCATGTGAGTGTGTGCATGTGAGTGTGTCTGTTGCCACTTATCTTCTGACTTTGACTGTAAGCCACACGCCACCTTCCCCCAAAGTCCCCTGAAGTCCCCCTTTGGCATCCTACAGAGGGCGTGGAGAACTTGCAAACTCAGCCAGCTTCATTCCAGAATCTGCTAAACTCTGGACCAGCGTGGCTGCCAAGGAGCAGACTCAGGTGCAGCGAAGCATTGCAAGGACAGGCTGTCCTCTCCTGGAAGAGACCTGGCACACAGCCGCCATGACAGATTCGCCAAGCATCTTGGCAGTGCCTAGTAAAGCCAGATGTCTTACATCTCTAACCTTTCTCTTCACGTAAAAAAGCACACACTGAGCGCAACGCAGCCAGGTCTTACATGAGGCGGCGTGGACAGTGAAAGGAAAAATTTCATGTCATGAGTTTCACAGTTTTTCCCTTTAGAATCTCTCCCAAGTTCCTTCTTAATGTGGAGAAGGATAGATAAGTAATTTTCAAGTAACAGCAAATAGTATTTACTCAGAATTTCTAAGCATATATGTGTTAGTTTATGAAAACCAAGTTATATTTCAAAAATTAAAACTTAAAGACAAATAAACTGACTATTACTATGATTGCCCTTGTGGCACAGTTGAAGAGCTCCAGTCGTGCAGCGGCTGATAGAGCTGAGACTCCAGCCGTGGCCCCTGGACTCCCTTCTTCTTCCCGAGAAGTGCCCGCCATCAGAGTGTATAGGAGCTGCCGTACAAAGTGTCTGTTAGCTCTTTAAGGGTGTGTAGGAGCCCTTGTATGGGATGCAGACATCTTAGTGACCCGCATTAGGTAACAATGGTTGGCAACAGTTAATTACATATTTTAAAATAGCTCTAGAGATGATGCTATTAATACAAGGGGAAGATAAGTTTCTAAGATGATGTGTATGTCAGTTATTTTGGTCTAATCATACCTTATACATTATGCATATGCATTAAAATACTCTAACCCATAAATGTGAGTAACTATTACATGCCAATCAATTTTCATGGTAAATTTAACAGATAAACTCACTTTTTAACAAACCAGAAGGCGGCTGGATGCAGCTCAATGGTAAGGCACTTACCTCATCTGCACAAGTCCCGAGATTGGTCCCTGGCATTGCACATGCAAACATGTAGTAAGGGAAGAGGTGTGAATTACAGAGCCAGTTCAAGGTGGTAAATTGCCACCATGCCGGAGACCACCAGACCAGGACAACCTGCAGGCAACTTCCTCTAGGTCCCATATCCCTGCTGTGGCCTCCCTAAGCCAGAGCACCTAGGGAGGCATTGCCATTGCTATCCTTTAAGGACCTTCCCCTGGAAGAACAGCATGCATTTTTTTATTTTCAAGAGATGCAGGAGGACCTGGGCTCACGGTCCTCTTCATAACTGGTCCAGGAGACTAACCTGTCCTTCCTTTATTGAGGGACATCTGCTCCAAGAAAGCAAAGGTGTGCAGAGGCTACTGCCAGGAAAAAAAATCTCATTGCAAAGGTGTGCAGAGGCTACTGCCAGAAAAAAAAACCTCATTGCAGTCTCAGAAGCAGGCAGGAAATGGCTGTTTGAGGGTGTGAGAGCCTCCTGCGTGCACAGAGCTCTGAAGAGCACTGGTGTCAGGGGCCACAGGCTTCCCTTTGTTGCCCGAGGACAAGGCTGGTACAGGCGGTGTGCAGAGACACTTGCCGCACGAGGGCTTGGGACACTTCCCCCTGGAAAGGATGCGTCTGCGGACTCAGGTGTCCAGCTTGCTGTAATGTAGCTGGCACTAAGACTGTCATTGATCTGCTTTGCTCACTCCTTGAATGCCTCAAGTTCCTCTTAGTCTTTTGGAATCCCCCACTGGTTTATGTGTCTCTCTCTCTGGGTCCCTCACCTGAGGCTGAGTTCTTCTCAGTGTGTAATCTTTCGTGAGGTGGGAAGGACTTCGGTATCCCCCGGTCTGTCTACAGCTCCATTACAGACCAGGCTTTTGCAAAGCCCAGCCCCGCTTCAGATGCAGTATCAATTCTTGCTCATGCCAACGCTCGAGGATGACTTTCAAAGGATCTGGGTTCTGGGATGAAGGCAGAGACTGGGCAGGTCACAGAACTCTCTGGTGTTGGCACAGACAGCCTGAGCTTTGGCTTCTGTACCACACGCATCCTGTTTCACAACCTCCAGGGATGTTTCCCTCAGGGCTCTTCCCGGTGCCACAGAAGGCAGCTGGAGACTGGGGTTTGAGGAGGGATGGAATCTGTGGAGACTTGCCTGGTAAGAAAACCAGGAATCTCCTCCCAAGAGAATAGTTAAACCTACATATTCAGAGACAGAGGGAACCAAAGAATCACCCAGCATAATCCCCCCATTTGTACCTTTGACTAATGAGGAAATTGCAGATTAGTGAAGTTCAAAGACTTCCCCAGATCAGGGAGTTAGATAGTGGTGGATTAGGACACGCCCCACACCTCTGCAAGAGCTTGCTCCCAGAGGGAAGCTGGGTGAAAAGCTTGGTGACAACATGGTCTAGAAATGCAGAGAGAAAGGGAGAGTCACTGAGGGCTGCAGCCTTGAGGGAGAAAGGGGTGTGTCTGGGCTTGAATATTTCATGGAAGGCAGAATCCAGGCTAACAGTGTTGGATGATTCTTGCCCTCATTTTAAAACACTCGTATAGTTCTGGGACCCACAGGTGGAGTCACCCTCTTCGAAATGTATTGAAAAACCCCCATCTTTGCTGCAAGTGTTTTCGAGTTCTAAATGGAGACACCCTCCCTCCCTTCTTATTTTCCCTTGGGGTGGAGGAAGTTTTGCCCAGACCGTGCAGAGCTGCGACAGGTTTCATTGCTCCCTGTAGAGAGCCTTCTCGGGACTCAAGGGGCACTGACATCAGTGCTGCGGGCTTGTGGGAATGAATGACTTCGCTGGCCAGAACTCTGGCTTTGAAAGGGTCAGGGAAGGGTTGAAAGCCTCACTTGGTCACAGATCAGGTGGGCTGAAAGGGACCACGAGCTGCTCATCTTTGACAGGGACATCTGGAGTGGTCAGCACTGGGGGCAGGGTGGCCTGCTGCATCACGGCTTGGCGGAAGACCCCACTCCTGCTTTTACTCCCCCTCAGCCAGTTTCAGCTTCTAGGAGTGTAAGGGCATGGCCGATGTCTGATGGCAGCAGAGCTCTGAATCCGCTGACACACAAGCCTGTTTAACGTGCCGGTGTGGTGTGAGGGCTCACGATTCTAGCCCGCACAGCCCCAGGTAGCCGGGAGCTCCCTTGGATGCAGACATAAAACTGTAGGTGGAACGGAACATCTTGGCCTCTTCACCTGAGTCAGGAAGGCTTCCTCCAGCCCCAGGCACTGAGTGGAAAGTAAGGGTCCTCCCAGTCTTCCAGCTGAGGCTCCAGCCGCCCCCCTCTCCTCGTGTTCCCTTGCAGGGCGCATGGGCCGGATGCGGCGCTGATGGCCGAGGGCAACCCGCCCACCGAGCTGACGCAGTCTCAGATGCTGCACATTGCACAGCAAATCGCAGCCGGCATGGTCTACCTGGCGTCCCAACACTTTGTGCACCGTGACCTGGCCACCCGGAACTGCCTGGTAGGGGAGAACCTGCTGGTGAAAATTGGGGACTTCGGCATGTCCCGGGACGTGTACAGCACCGACTACTACAGGGTGAGTAGCTAGCTGAGCCCTAACTGGGCGAAGCCCGATGTATCCATACAGCCGGTTGCACTGGCATAAAGAGAGTATCGCTGGTCAATGGGAATTGACGCCTCGCAGTGCAGGGCCTCCAAGATCATGGTGGCGCAGTGGGCGTGACCTCCTCCCAGGGCTCTCTCATCAGGATGTGGGTGGCTGTCATCGCTGGTGTCTTCCGCCATCTTTATTTTTCTTTTCTTTTTTGCATGCATGAGCTTTAATGGGAAACTTCACTTCCTAAGTCTCCTCTTCCAACTTGGACACCAGCAAGACTGGACTAAAGCTCACCCTGTTGGTCCCGTTTCCCCCAAGCTGCCTCTTTAAAGCGCCACTGGGAACGTGGTCATGTCCTGGGTCTGTGTATGTCCAACATACAAGTGTTGGGGCAAACCTTTCTTCACCGTGACTTTCCAGAGCGCCGTGTCACATTGCCAAGACAAAAACACGCCTCAGCATTTCCAGGGTGTGGGCTGAGGACACAAGGATTGAGGGTTAACCAGGAATTGCTGGGAAACGATAGTCAGACACCTTAAGGGCTGAACTCGTGTGAGCTGGTTTATACGCATGGCCATCCAGGAGACTTTGGCAGCCCCCTCACGGAGCCATGTTAGGGGAAAGCAGCAGAGCTCTTACCTGGGAGCAGCTCCTGCCTCAAACCTGTAAGTGGTAGGCTTTTTCCAGGCATCTAAAGTACAGACGGCATTTTATCATCTTCTCTGTTTTATTAAGTTTATTTTTATTGGTGTGAGGTGTGGGTGAGTATCTCCCCCGGCTTCAGAAGAAGCAAGAGAGTACTTCTCTGAGAAAAGGTTTTGCTAATCTTCATGAGTATGAAAAGACATCAGCCTTTAATTTCCCACTTTAAATAAAGGTTGTAAAGGACTTGGAACAAAGAAAGAACTCAATAAAGGTTGTGATTTAATTATTATGCAAATCAATAAGGGTGTATTTCATCCCCAGGCTGGGACTGAAGTAAGTAAAACCCAACATTCTCAGAGTATCTCTAGAAAAATAACTTGTAAAACAGATATTGAAAATCTAAATAATAAAACAGATCAGCCACTCAGTTCAAAACTGAGCAACACATTTGAACAGATGTCATTATAAAGATGATACAGAAGGGCTAATAAGCATGAGGGGAGATCCTGAGCTCCCAGACATCAGGGAACTAAAGGACAATGACAATTAGATGTCACCTCACAACACTGATGCTGTAACGAAGATGGACAGACAGTGATATGTGCGTGCTGGCGGGGATGTGGGAAAGTTAAAATTCTCATCCGTTGCTGGTGCAAAGGCAGGAACTCTGCTGGTCTTGGGAATATAGCTTAGAGTTTTTTCAACATAAGCCACAATAGAACCTAGCTAGCAATTCTACTCCTATGAATATACCCAAAGGAATTGAAGTTCCGTTTACACAAAAGCTGGTAGGGAAGTTATTTATGATGTCTAAAGAGTATAAGCACCTTAAATATTGATCAGCTGTTGAATGAATAAACTCAGCATGATGAGCCAATGGGATGTTATTCAGCAAGACAAAGGAATGAAATCTAACCCATGGCACAACATAGATAAATTCTCAAACATCAGAGACGCTGAGCAACCAGTTAAGAGGCCTGGCTGCTCTTGCTGAGGACCTGGGTTTGGTTCCCAGCACCACCTGGTGTTTTGTAACCAACTACAACTCCAGTTCCAGGGGATCTGATTTCTGACATCTTTAGGCACCAGGCACACCCATGGTGCACACACACACACACACACACACACACACACACACACACACATATGCAGACAAAACACTCATACACACAAACTAAGCCAAATAAATCCAAAACAAAAATAACAAGAGAAAACAAAAACACAATATTAAGAGAAGGAAGCCAGGCACAAAAGGCCAGTGTCATGTGACTCCATTTGCAAGGAGTGTCTAGAATGAGAAAAATCTAAGGAGACAGGAAGTTGGTTGGTCTCCATTTTCCAGGACTCGAGGAAGGGGACACCAAAGAGTGACCACTGCTGAGTACGTGGTTTAGCATGTGGTTTAAGAATTATATAGTGGTTTAAGGTACATTATAAGTAGACTTAACACCCAACAGCCTTGTGCACTTTTAATAAAATAAATCTTGAAACGGAAAATACTAGAACAGTAACTGCCATTACGTATATAGATTGATCTTGAACATCTGTGAATTATTTAAGCAGTAGCATCTGTAGCCTACCATCTTTCATTGTCATTTGTTAGGGAAACCCTCTGTTTATGACATAAGAGCCAACACCCGGCATCCAAGCCCTCTTCCGCCTTCAAGGACAGCTACAGGCATGCGGTGTGTATGAACTCACACAGGCACACAGGCCTAAAAGTGGCAGTAAATGTATGAAAAGCACGGAAGGACTTGATGCCACGTTGGTTACAGGAAGCGGCAATTCCCAGTTCCTTAGGTATTGAATGTTCTTGACAGTTTCTCAGTTATGAGATACGCTTCAGAAATAACATTAGAAACCGGAGAGTCGCTCAGTGGAAGAGCACTTGCAGCGTGCCTGGGTTTGGTTTGGCCATTCACAACCACCTGTAACTCCAGTGTCAGGGGAATCCAAGCCTTCTCCTGCTCTCAAGGTCACCAACAGGCATGTGGTGTGTATGAACTCACCCAGGTACGCGTGCGTGCGCACACACACACACACACACACACACACATTTAAAAACAATAATAAATGCATGAAAATCCATTAACTTCGTCCCCCTTACCCATGGTCATTACTAAGTTGTAGTTGCAAAGTTTGTACTTAGGGGGAGGAGTTGTTTTACTCACTCAAAATGAGGGAAAGGCTCAAGCTTTGCATTGGCTTCTGTCACAGATGGAAAGGAATGGGTAAACAGGGAGCTAACAATGGAGGGCAGGATGGTGGGTAGGAAACTTAGGAAATGAATTCCCTGTTTTATTTAGCCTTTTGTAAAACTTCAAAATGGTGGTTCATTTATTTTTTGGCTTCATGAGAGCACTGTCAAATAATTGGCCTGGGGGATATTTTTGCTTATTGAAATAGCGAGGCATACCACACAGCGTCGAGTCTATCAGATAGGTGAGCAGGAGCTGTTGACTGGGTTTTCCAGGAGAACCCTGCACACCCACGCTGCCACACAAAAAGAACCCCATTTATAAGATTAACCCTAACCCCACCACCATCAATCACAGCGCCCCCCTCTGTTCCCTGCCACCATCTCTAGATCATGAGCTTTCCCTGGTGATGTTTCTCCCCCCACAGGTGCTTTCTCCTCATTTCCTCCTCATTTCCTCTGCATCTGCTTCAACAGGCCACACCGCACTCTGAAGTGAGAAGTTGGTATAGGCAACACCTGATGTCCTCACCAATGTCAGCCACAGTGAACACTGCTTTTCCGTTGCTGTGGTAAAATTCAATGACCAAAATCAACTTACAGAACAGCGAGTCTCCACCTTCCCGATGTAACCGACCCTTGAATACAGGTCCTCATGTTGCGGTGACCTCCATCTACGAATTTATTTTTGTTTCTACTTCATAGCTGTAGATTCGCTACTGTTCTGAATCATAACGTGAATCCCTGTGCTTTCCGAAGGTCTTTGGCGACCCCTGTGAAAGTGTCTTTCAACCCCCGCCCCTCAAGGGGTCATGACCCACAGGCTGAAAACAGCTCATACAGACGGAAGAGTTTATTTTGCTTTGCGGTTCCAGAGAACTAGACATCCATAAAGTCAGGGAAGGCAAGGCAGCAAGCAGCAAGTATGGTAGCCAGACTTCAGAGTCGCAAGATCATATCTCACCTACACACCCAGGCTGGAAGTGGGCAGACAGTGAAGTCTCACAGCCACCCCCCCCCCGACAGACTTCTCCCATCAATATCCCCTATTCTAAAGGTCCCATAGCGTCCCCGGACAATGCCACCAACTGGGGATGTTCGAAGGCATGAGCCTGCAGGGGACAGTTATCATTTAAACCACCACGTCTAGGTTATCTCACAGAGAAAGATTGGCAAGTAGGAAGAGGCAGACTAGTTTGGGAAGCAACAGATCCCTAATATTCCAGAACCCCACTAGGTGCCTGAACCGTCTGCTCATGGTGGCTTGTGCACAGGCTTGCGGGATGAGTGTGCACAGGCTTGCGGGATGAGTGTGCACAGGCTTGCGGGGTGGGTGTGCACAGGCCTGCAGGGTGAGTGTGCACAGCCTTGTGGAGTGGGTGTGCACAGCCTTGTGGGGTGGGTGTGCACAGCGTTGTGGAGCGGGTGTGCACAGCCTTGTGGGATGAGTGTGCACAGGCTTGCGGGGTGGGTGTGCATAGGCTTGCGGGATGAGTGTGCACAGGCTTGCGGGGTGGATATGCACAGGCTTGCGGAGTGAGTGTGCACAGGCTTGCGGGGTGAGTGTGCACAGCCTTGCTGGGTGAGTGTGCACAGGCCTGCAGGGTAAGTGTGCACAGCCTTGCGGGGTAGGTGTGCACAGCCTTGCGGGGTGGATGTGCACAGGCTTGCGGGGTGAGTGTGCACAGCCTTATGGGGTGAGTGTGCACAGCCTTGCGGGGTGGCCCCTGCGCTGTGCTCTTGGGAATAGCTAGTGGCAGCTGTTCCTGGTCACGAGGGAGCTGGCAGCACCATGAAGCCTGAGCCTCAAGCCCATTGCAGCTGAGTTAATTACACCCTCCCAGAGAAGAGAGAAATCACAACATGGAGTTTGCACATTGAAACCAGCCCAGCACGGCAGGCCCAAATTTACTCTAGCATTTTTGTTTTCTAGATTGTTCTAATTAGCAGCTGTCTGCACCAGCCTTCCACTTTTTGTTGTTGTTGTTGCTTTTGTTCCTCCTCTCCACTGGCAAAACCCGACGTTCAGGGATGATCAGAAGCAGATTTGTGTCACCCTGTGCTAGGACATCACTCTACTTGGTCATTACTCTGCCACTGTGGAGCCATTGAGCTCCTTTTTTTTTTATTTCACTTT